TTTCTTTATTAATTTCCTTTTTTTTCCTTTTCTTTTATGTGTTGTCTTATATTACCTAGTATTAATTTATTTTTAATGTGTAAATATTTAACCTCGTATGTAGATATAAAACTGAATGTCAATATTTAATTAATTAATATTGCTATGTAGGTATACTATATATGACTGCCTCGTTGGCCGAGTGGTCGCAAGTGCGTCTGCTGGGAAAAGGGTCTCGGGTTCGATTCCCGGGTCGGGCAACGTACTACCTACTGGGTTTTTAAACAATTCTCAGTACGGAGTGTAGAATCGTGTTCGGTATATGGCAATAGGCTCACCCCCTATTAGGTACATGGGACTCATAACATAAAGTGAAAAGTGGTTACATTGTACAGTGGCATAATGTACAGCTCTGCCTACCCCTTCGAGGATATAAGGCGTGATGTTATGTATTGTTATGTATGTATTAACTTTAAACATATTTCAATTAAAAGAATTTTAAAAGAATTGAAGATAAATTTGGTTTTATGTAGTTAATAAGAATTTTTCCCTTCTTCTCGTGCCTGCCGGGCCTGCCCAACATCACGTAACGCTCATAACCAGAGTCTAATTGAAAACAATTTTGTCGTACCTACGTAGGAATCATTTATCAATGAAATCGGTGGCACAGTGGCCACGTATCGCCGTGAATAGCCAGTTTAAACTGTCAAACACCGTGGGGACACCGGTGACCGCAACCTATTGTTCTTTAATTGTCGCGGAGAACCTAACGGGTAACCGGGGCTCCGGCTCGACGTGCAGGAGAAGGAACGGGGTGGTTTTTAGTCAGTAACAGTCTGACACTCCCTCCCGCCTCATCCAGGCGGGAGCAGTCATTCGATGATTTTCCCCCCTAAAAAAAAAAATGTTCTTTAATTGTGTCTATAATGACGGTACTCAACGAGTTAAGGGAGAAACATGTTAAGAATACCACACTCCCTAGTTTTTTCTCCTGAAAAATGCACGTTATCAAAAAAGGTATCATTTACCAAACCATGTTTCGAATCCATTATACGGTTCTCTTATCAATCTACCTATGCCTAACCGTATGTAGGTCACAATTGACAAAAACACGCATTATCCGCAAACATTTCCTACATGCCCGCATGATAGTTACGATTATTTTGATAAAACCATTTTGTTTTAATCCTTGAATTCCTTGACGTAAGTAGCTATTGAATTACTGAATGTCTGACGATTAATTTCCTTTTCGGATTTTCTAACTTTCGGATGACAGTTAGAAACTGAATTAAAATAAAGTGGGTACCTAACTACAGCGAATGTATATACATAAACATAACATCACCATTTTATCCCTACTTAGTGCCACTGGACAATGTAACGCCCACTTTTCTCAATTTATGTTATGAGTCCCACGTAATAGGGGTCTATTGCCATATACCGGGCACAATTCCAGACTCCGTGCTACTATTGAATTTTTTATAAAATCCCAGAAATATTTGCCGATCCCGAGAATCAAACCCGACTACTGATAATTTTTAAAAAACCCAGTAATACTTTGCCCGACCCGGGAATCGGCACCCGAGACCCCTTGCCTTGCAGTCGCACTTGCGACCACTGCTAACGAGGCAGTCACCAATTTCTTAAATACGCTATGGTAATCTCAAAAAATCCCAAAACGAACATTCTAACTATAACATGCCTCTAAGATTCTAGCAATGTTTAATCTAATTCAATAGAGGAAATCTGATTGAATAGGCGTGTCGACGGGGTAAAAAAATCAAAAAAGTAATTAGTCCGTCATTAAGATCGCACGAAAATATCAGACACGTATTTTTTGTTTTATCA